CACTATTATTATTTGTTAGATTTTCAATATTTCACTGATGGGCAGACTTTTTACTCTTTTATAGAAGAAAATCTATAGAACCTGAACATTGAATGACTTATCAGAAGTCATTTAATAAGCCAATTTGTTCATTTAGAATGGAAAATTCAGACCCCTTATTGAAGATGTCATTTAGAGTACAAAGTCTTCCATTTGAATTTTGGGGGGGGGAGGGAGGACTGAATATTAGAAATCAATTCTCTGTAAGAGACACTATTCTATTAGACGTGGAATAGAAACACTATGTACAATGTTCATCCAACCTACTTTATAAATCTCTGAGGATGAAGCAAGAAGGAGAGGAATTAGGGAAAAGAAGTAAAAAAAATCATTCTCTAGCTTTAGGGAATTGTGCATTTATACCTCATTCATGAAATAATTACTGTGGGCTTCCTAAGTGCCAGGCACCAACCTTGGGATACAAAGATAAATACAACACTATCCCTGGTGAATCCACTTCTTTCCTCCCTCTGAATAATACTGCAACCCATTTTTGTTAGAAAACATATCAGTAGGCACAACCATCTACAGTCTGTCCATAAAGAGAATGCACTACTCTTTAGGTCCTGCATGCTATCTCCTTTCTAGAGGTCCTAGTTCTCCAGCTATTTCCAGTAATTTATTACAATACAATGATTTAAAAAATCAAAGAAGAAAACATAACCCAGGGTAGCCATAAAACACTAGACAAAGAGTACCTCTTTTTCTTCTTAAACATAGGCCACAGGTTCAGCAAAATGAATGAGTGCCTTCCTTGCTATTAACACTTTTACAAGTTCATTTACTTAAGAAAAAGGTTATACATAGTAAAAATCGTCTGATTTGTTACAAATTAAGCAGACTAGCTGGCATGAATAAGTGAAAATTTCAGGATACGAAACACGTGCCAAATAGTATGGCTTTTTTTAAGGAGAGGAATGGGTTGGGATATAAGTAACATTTTCTGAGGATCTAGGTTCTAGGCACCCTTCAATAAGCCCTTTCCTTTATTTATTCAACCCTCACAATGTTCCCAGGAAGTAAACTACTAACAGCAGCCCCCAGTACAGGTTTCTACATATCCCAAATGTGCTCTAGGACGACAATGTCACTCTCAGCAGTTGATGAAAACTACTGCTCTAAGAGATTCTTTGCACATCAGGAAAAAAGACTAAATAGAGGAGCATTTTCTTTAAAAGTCTTCCCTACCTTCAAATCTCTCAGAGGTCCCTTATTTTATGGCATTTGTGCTCCTAAGAACACCCCATCCACCTTAAGAAGCCAGCTACAAAAGCTCCATAAATATATTTGCCATCCAGTCCATAGGCATTTATTGATTACCTGTTGTGGGCCAGGTACTATGCTGTTGGCTGGGAACATAAAGTCAAAGAGTACTAGGAGCTTAGAGTCTAGTGAGAGACAGATTAAGTATGACAGGTGTGTTAAGATAGCTGTAAAAGTGTGCTAGGGAAGATCAGTGCAGGAGGCACCTTCCGTAGACTGGGAGGCAAAAGGGATGCAGGGGATGGGACAAGTTCTCAGAGGAAGTGAAGTTTTCCCTGAGTCTTGAAAGACAAGGTGGGAGTAGCCAGGAAGGGCACAGTCCATGCTGAGAAAACCAGACCAGAGATAGGAATCATATTTGCAAAGACCAGAGATAGGAATCACATTTGCAGCAAAAGATACTTCCTTCATTCTTCAAGTTGAGACCTCATTGTGATTCAGACTCAGGATCTCCTGTTTACTAGACAGGTCCAAATAAGTCACTAGAAAATAAAATCAGCTCTCCAAAGTCCACATGTACTTCCTTCCAAAGCTCTTGTTTTTGTAAGGTCTGGCTTCACTGGTATAATCGCCCACCAGACAAAAAATATGACTAATTCTATACTTCTTACAGTGAACAGGAAATTGTTTCAAGAACATTGTGGACTGGCCACAAGTGGGAGTGTCCTGGATTTGGGAACACAGAAGAGTAGTATACAGAACTGATCATAATCAATGTCATCTGATGGGTAAGGTAGAAGGAGTGCCAGTAGATCAACTTACCCTTGGTCTTAAGCTCAAAATGGACTTTATCTTGTTCTCTGTTTGTGAGTTTTGTTTGTTTTGTTTTTGCATCTGAAGTCTTGTCTCACTTACCATCAACTGTAACAATGCAAAAGCCAGATTCTCACCTTATTGATACATTTGCACAGAAAACCTGGAAAAGTCTTTGGTTGTTTGGGTGTATATATAATATATATGTACATACACACACACGTACGTATGTACATGGCATTAAAAAAAACAGAGAGAGAGAGAGAGAGAGAGAGAGAGAGAGAGAGAGAGAGAGAGAGAAGTTCAGTTTTGTTAACACAGTTGGGAAAGCTGGAAGTGACCAGCTGGGGATCTCTGAATCTGAGAGAGCCCAAAGGCGATTGATTCCTGAGTTTACGGGTGCTGAGTGCAGGAGCTGGATTGTTGCTACTTCGGGTTAAAACAGTAACTGTAAGGACAGCAAGAGTCAGATTAGTCCAGTTCCTCTCTCTTGGGTCGGGGAGAGGCGGGAGAGGCAAGCAAGCCCTGTGGTTCCTTCTGGTCTCTAGCCTGCAAGGAACAGGCTCATTTCCCCTTGGCAAGGAGCCTGATGCAGCTGGCAGGCAGGTCCTCTTTCTCCTACCTCAGTTCCCTCTGACCTGAACTGCACTCAGGAACCATAACTCTGAAAATGAATGTAGGCTACTATTTAGTCAATCCCACGATCATTTCATTTTATCATTCAGGCACAGTTTGACCTCTAATTGGACATCACAAACATTTCTTGTCCACATTTTCTCCCCTTAGAAACTACCCTGAACAAGAAAGTCTATGTTCCAAGGTAAGAGAACCTGAAATGAAAAACTCGGGATCTCTCACTAACAGCCCGACCCTGCTTTCAACCAGGAAGTTCAAAGGAGGCAGAACTGTACAATCAAAACTGCAAATCCCAAACTCAAAATGATAAGAGGAAAGAGAAAGGTTGTGGTCTTCAAAGAAAAGGATTCACCCAAACTGAAGAACTTTTTTCCCTGGCTGATTCCACTTCATTTCTGTAAATGTTGCTAACCCAGGGAGAACTTATAAACAGGGACAGGTGTAGGAACACCTTCTCTCTCTGGGTACGTCTGCTGCCGCTGCTGCTGGCTGCACACGGCGAGGGGCACCCGACCCAAGAGCTGTCCAAGCTTCCGGATGACGCACCTGGCCTGGGTCCTCTCCCACGTGCGGGGGGCAAAGCGAGCTTGCCCAGCCCTGGGGCCACCCCGCCTGCCCGGCTGCAGGGGAGAGGCATAAAGGGCACCTCGGGGCTGAAACCTCATGCCAGGCTCCCTGGCTTTACCCCCATTACCAGCATATCGTTTCTCATTAGGGACACTCTTCACCTCCTACCTACCCTGAAGTCCTGCGCACCTACATGGCTCTGCGAAGCAACTGACTTAAAGCGCCTCAAGCCTTCCGCGACTCAGGTGAGTTGCCAAGAGGTGCAGGGGGCAGGGGCCCGCTCTCCGCCACCCCCTTTCTCTCCTCCCCACGATCGCCAGGCTTCATCAGGGATGTGTGGATTGGGGTGCGCGGTTAGGAGAGCGTCCCTTACCTTCCACAGCCATTCTCTCAGAGCTTCCCTAATACATGCATAATTTTCTTGGCCGAGGTACTCCTCCTGCCCCACGCTCCCCCCTCCTCTCGCTTTCGCCTAAATAATCTGCGCTCATCAGCTCCAGGACCAACCTGCCGCGGTCACGCAAAGCGAGGCAGCCGGCTCCCGGCTCGGCGCAGGGCGGCCTGGGAAGTGTAGTTCCCTCCCTTCGCCGCGCTCCAGGAGAGCACCCCGAGTCCTCCACGCGACGGACCCTGCCCCCTCACTCAGGTGGCAGCTCCGAACCCAGCTGGCCCAGACCAAGCGATCCCTCCTGGGGGTCTCATCAGGAGACTCGAGGATCCCCGGCAGGTGGCGGGGACTACATCTCCCAAGACGCCGTGCGCTGGGTTTCGTTCGGCTCTGAAAGTAGAGACCCGTGATTGAGACCTTCCCTGTCAATGAGAAGGGGTTAGGCACCTAGCAGGGGTGGTGCTGGAGGCAGGTGGCTGCCGGGTTTGTGATGCTCTCCTGGGTTAGGTCCGCTGGCCTCAGCGTCTGCACCACCTCTTGGCCTCAAGGGCCACCCGTTTGGTGAGGACAGCAGAGCCACTGGCCGCCTGTGGTTCTGCACCTGAGCCAGAGAACCAATGCACGGGGTGCGTTGACACTTGTTCCTTTGTACCCTAGAATGTGTGGGGTTGTGGGGGATCCCGCCATGTGATACAGCTGTCTTCTGATCCTCCAGGGTGGTGCCGGTGGTTAAACATTTAGCACGGGGGTAGGAGGGGTGACTTAAAAATCACCAACAGGCAACATCTCCGAGGGTTTATAGGAGCAAAATCTAGGAGGACGTCAGATGATGCAAGCGTGTCTGGCTTCCAAGGTGGAAGACTTTCAGCTTGCCTGGCCTAGGAGCCTCTTGGCAGCCTATGATAGGACCTGATAATTAACAGTGCCTAAGAATCAGTGCTCTTTCGACTTCTGAACCTATGCCCTAACTCCAGGTGCCAGGGTGCTGTAAGCAGACAGCATGAGAAGAATCACGTGGAGAGCAATAGAATTCCAGGGCTGGTAAATATTGATAAAAATGAAATTCCCAGACATTTTTCCCGCATGTAGAAATATAGATGCAGTTATGCCTGGTAGGGATAAGAGTATGGCCTTGGAAACAGATCTGCTCTGGCTGTGAGCTTAGAAATGCATATGGTGCCACATCCAGCCAGCCCCAGCTCTTTTGCCCACCCCAACCCCCATATATGATTAAAAATATATATATTCTGTACAAAAACTAAGGAAGTAGAAAGATATGATTCTTCCCATGATGACTACTTAGAATTTTCTTGCTCAGAGAAAAGAAATATTTTAACAATTTTGTTTCTGAGCGTGTACGTGCACACCTGTTTTTCTGGTCATGAAGTACATGCTTAGGCCTTCGTTGGGTAATATGCCTGTGTATAGGCACTTTAAAAAATACCTGTGTGTAACCATTAAATGGCCTTGGTGATACTTTGAGTCCATGAAGCTGTGTGCAAATCAAACCTAAGGCTTGCATCCTTAGGTTTGTATACTTAGGTACAGTAGAGAGAGACTAGTTCGATGAGACACAATATCCATGGGAAAAAAATTTCCAACTAATATGTAGCCAAGCATTCTAAAATATGGTAAGAACTGAAATCCAGGTGCTTCCCTCCCCCTTTATGTATGTAAAATTATCAAAGCATTAAGTCTTTCCTTAGAATGAATGGAAAAGAAAACTAGGGAAAGTGAAGGAAAATGGTCAGGGCTCCTCAGATGTTCAGAATCTTGC